AAACTATGCTGACCTTCTTAGGTACCGTAACTACTTACTAAATGTGAAAAAAACTTAAAAAAAACCTGCCTACTAATCTACTACAATTTTATACCTATCCTAAAAAAATGAATTAAAGTATTTATTTTACCTATTAACTATAATTCTACCTACTACTAACTTATGCTAAACTAATAATAACAACCAAAACAACTAAGTAAATAACACAAAATGCTTATCCAAGAAACCCTAAACACCAATGAAAACGTAAAGAAAGCGAATACGTTGCAGCTCAAAATTTTAGATATCGCATGCGTCCGCCAACGACGTCTGCCCTCACGTATCTGCCCGTTCGGGTAAGCATACTTTGTGATCTACACTCCTCCCACCGAGCCATCCGCGTCCCCCGCACGTCTTTGCCGCCGCGCCGCGCAGCGCGCCCGCGCCCGCCAGCCCCGCCACACCACACCATGCATCGTCACACTTACACATTCATAGTGTATAGGCCGATGGGCCTGATGGACATGTCAGGCAGAAAGTATTCTAAAAGCTGGCTAGGAGTATTTGAATTATGCGATACATAACTGCACCCCGCGTTTTCACCCGCATAATTCCGGGATCAGGATCGGGATAAAAAGTAAAGATGTCCTTTCCCAAGGTTCCATCTATCTCTATACCAAAATTCATCAAAATCGGTTCAGCGGTTTAGGCGTGAAAACGAAACAGACAGACTGTCTATGTCTTTCCCCAAGGTTCCATCTATCTCTATACCAAAATTCATTTAGTAGGCATATACGATACATAACTGCACCCTGCGTTATCTATCACTCGCATAATTACGGGATCGGGATCGGGATCGGGATAAAAGGTTGCCTTTGTCCTTTTCCAAGGTTCCATCTATCTCTATACCAAAATTCATTTAGTAGGCATATACGATACACAACTGCACTCTGCGTTTCCACCCGTATAATTCCGGGATCGGGATCGGGATCTGGATAAAAAGTACCCTATGTCCTTTCCCAAGGTTCCATCTATCTCTATACCAAAATTCATCAAAACCGGTTCAGCGGTTTAGGCGTGAAAAGGTAACAGACAGACAGACAGAGTTACTTTCGCATTTATAATATTAGTAGGGATATATTTTATTGCTTGGCGCACGCGCACCCATTAATCTATATACGCACAGCGACTCACGCTTAATTAAACAAAGGGACTGACATAGAGATTTGAAAAAATAATCGATTATGGAAATAATCAATTAAAATCGATTCATTTTATAATTGAAAATCAATCATAGTCGATTTTTCATCTGCCACCTCCCGACATAATATCTGAATATTAGGGATATTCGATATACATCGATCCCAATGCAATACATTGAATAGATCCGATGCTATGAAGATGTATTGATATACCCAATGCATTGATGTATTTTTCGACGAAAGGGTTAATTTCACAAAAACTCAAGTTTGAATTGAACACTATAATTTAAAAGTAAAATAAATTTATTCAGCAGCACAAATTTACATACGAAAAGACAACGAAAATACTGCAATGTGCTGCTGAGAAGGCATACACATATCTATCAATTTTCACCTAAAATCTAACAAAACGAGATTAGGTAAATTTCGATTTTGATTATTCTAAAACATTAATTTGTGTTTACAATTTCTATTATTTATTTGTAATTAATAAAACCGTGAAAAATAAAATATTTAAGGTGTTTATTTTGAAATTAATTCAAAAATTAGGAAAAAATCGATTTTCATGCAAAAAAAACAATCGATTAATAAAAAATCGATTTTTTAATGTCACATCCCTAGTCACTGACAAGACACCAGCCCTGCGATTCTGTAACTCACTTTTCGAACTCACACACATAGAAAAGGTGGGAGCTTGTAGTTTATTGTTTATCAGAATGCCAAATCATAAAATGACTGCTTCACGACTGATTTGAGAGCGACCGCCGATGCGAAAACCGCTGTGTGAGTTCGAAAAGTGAGTTACAGAATCGCAGGGCTGACAGCGCGCAGCGACCGGCATACTCTAAACCCCCCCCCCCACAAACCCCGCAAAAGGGATACAAACAAAAGATAACACATGTTTTAATATGTAGTTATAATTTGTTAACTTGATACTGAACATTTTCTAACGGCAATGTGGGAGCACCATAAAAAAGACATCTATAACATTAAATATGAAAAATATTTAATGTTATAGATGTCTTTTTTGATAAAACTAAATCAATTTCATTCCACTCTTTTAAGTAAATTACCTTTTGTCTCTTTTTGCCAAATTATGTTTAAGCGGTAACGAAAAGAGACATTTACTTAATTGAATTAGATCGATTTATTCTGATTAAGGGCTCTAGATTATTACTACATCTTGCTTTAACATAATAAAGTAAATTACGATCAAACGTTTACCGTTGTATGTACAATAAGTTGATAATATGTAATATTAGTAAAATTTAATTTTAGAATGACTTAACTATCGGTAAAAAGAAAAATATAATTGTTAAATTTAATTCACATATACCAAAAATCTACTACGGTAAATTTTTCGTTTAACATTGGTTACATTATTAGATCACTTTTAATACTAACTATAAGAATCCTATAAATACATTTCGAGTAGGTGTTTTATGGTTTTAACTCTTATTACAGTAAGATGGACATATTTATTTGTATAGGTATAAAAAGATAATTTTAACCATTAATACCAAACAAGCAAGTGTAAAACTCATTATCTCATACAAATTACATATAAAAACTTTATTATCAAAACCAAATTCATTTGAAAATATATATACTTAGTTTGTTATATTATATATATTATAAAATCTTTTCTCTTTTGTAAAGATAGCAATGTCGGCAATCGGTTTCCAATCTCGTTATTCTGAGATTGTCATCTCCGTTTAAAAACTTTTATCTAGTTTTTATTGAGTGAAATGTAATTTGTAGAATCCCAATCTGTATAACGATATTTCTATATACACATAGAGCTTTGTTAGTAAATGATTCTTTTGTATTTTTGTGAATCCTTAATTCAAGAGCTTTTATGATCGCGCGTGACACTTAATCAAACGCTAGACACAATAATTACTATCTACAAAATAAAGGCAAACATTTAGTTTTGTTTGTAAGCAAATATCAAGTTACACTATTTATATTAAATATAATTTGATTTCTAATGCATATATACGTATACATTTGGACAAGCGAAAGCAATTACGTTATACACCAATTTATCTAAAATAAAATTTCATCTAATATCTGCATCGCACAGATAATATATATCATACAATCTATTACGCTCTCTCAAAAAATACATTTTCATCAAAGGCACACTCATTCACCAAACAATATTAATTGTTCCATTATTCTAACATTATATAAAAGTGCAGGCCGCTTCTCGAGACATGCCACACTTAACGATATCATACGCCGGTCACTTGCCACCATCAACGTTCCAAGTCTACTTGAGCCGAGTGGTATTGCAAGAGACGATGGCAAAGGACCGGACGGTATGAGTTTGATTCCATGGAAGATGGGCCGGGTACTGGTATGGGATGCAACCTGTTCAGACACGCTGGCCCCTTTCCATCTACATGGAACCAACAACAGAGCTGGTGCGGCTTGTGAAGCGGCTGAAAAAGCTAAAGCATGCAAATACAGGGGTCTAGGCTCAGAATATGATTTTGTCCCATTCGGTGTCGAGACCCTTGGTCCGTGGGGTCCTAGCACTTTAAGGCTTTTTAAAGAAATATCAAAAAGGTTTGTCGACATCACAGGAGACCGAAGATCTGGCAGCTACCTCGGACAAAGAATTAGTCTAGCTATTCAAAGGGGGAACGCTGCCAGTATCTTCGGAACCTTGCCTAAAGGGACTCCTTTTAATAATAGTTAGTTACATTATATAATATATAAAATACTTTTATATGACTATAATTATATAAGTGACATGCCACAATTGTAAATTGCACACTTTGATATTTTTTGTTATAGTAGCAGTGAAGTACATTTAAGAGGTATAAAAAGCTTATACTGAATTTTTTTATACTGATCAGAGATAACCTTAAGACCCTATTTATATTATGATAAACACATTTAGTCCTAAAACGTTACATAGTTTTATCGGTTAAACCACAAAACAATTAATAAAGAACTGAGTCACACGGTCTCTGAAATTTTATTATTAGTGAGATACCTTCGTTAAACCACCATTCTCGTTTTGGCGATTTGCCTTAATATTCGCGCAAGACGAATTTTTCACAGAAAAACTTTCGATAAATATTTGCAGTCGACTCGGGCGTAGAGGAGCAGCGATTCTGTTTCAGCATTTTCTCACAAGGCCCGTAAACCGCCTACGTCGGGTCGTCTTTCTAATAAAAATTCAATGTATTGTTGGTTGCATGATGCTACTCGTATAGTAGTGGCCCTAAAACCTTAGTATTGCACGAAACTACCAAGGAAGCTGTAACATTTTTATACCAATATTTTACATTGACGTGCAAATTTATAAATTAACCTATAGTGATTTGTGGATAATTCTAAAAGTGCACGAAATACTGTTCGTTAAAACTAAAGTCGTCTTATTAACCAGGCTAGTTTTCGTTTATTTGATTCGCTTTATCAGGGACGCATACAATAATATTTTAACGGGATAGCTAGAATTTTCATGCATTTGGTATAGTGTCAAACAATACCTATTCGTGGTTCCTTTAAGTTCCCACACAGCTGCTCCAGTTGAAGTCTGAAGCTATACCAAATTTATTCCTATTATCTACCTTTACAAGAGTTTAAAGTTTTGGTACCTAGTTCTACAGTCACATTTAGTTCACTATCATTCTAATAAATACAACAGTTTTATAAAGCGCAAAAAAGAATTAAAATTAAAATCACCTAAACTTACAAGTACAGATAAGTATCATTTATCTTGCGGGCATATACATATCTGTAGCTACGAGGTGGTCTATTTACATGGTGTTCTTGAACCGATGCAGAAGAGGAAAGCGTATTTCAAATTCCCTTGTTAAAGGAAGAGCCGGGTCGCAGTTTCTTGCGAAATCTTGGAGAGTTCCAACGGGGAAGGAATCTGCTCTCATTTGGTGCGATTCCTTCATCTACGTCGTCCGCCTCTGTTTTTATCTCCATTTTCTGAAATGAATTTGATTATTACATAAGCTTCTGTAAATTCTCATACATGACAATACCCTGGTTGGCTATGAATGTATTTACTATTCATGTAAAGAAAACTTCTCTGAATTAAACATTGCACTATAAAAATATGGGGTGGTAATAAATGGTGGGCTGAAAAGTTCGTAGGGTAAAACGCAATTATGTATTGCATTATTAGAACTTTATAATTAGCATTAGGATATATTTATATTTTTTTAACCTTACGTATGTGAGTTGTTAAGGTTATTTACTCCCTTTATCATTAAAACTAAATTAGTACACTGTTTCAAAGGAAAGAGCGAAGAAATTTAGTTCAATGTGTAATAAGATGGTATTGTTTTTGTAATCTTATATTTAGTACCAAATGCGCGTTCAAGTATTATGTAAAGAATTTTTTACTCTTGTAAAACGTTACGATGCGGGGCGGGGATTGAATTACTAATCGTTATTGTTAATAATATTTTCGACTTTCCAATACTTTTCACCACATAATGGTAACTTTTAGGTATAAAGAGTCACGAAACGTTTTACTATTGGGTACAGATGTTTATCGCGTTACGGCGCGTTACAGGGTGGGGTCAAGAATCGCCAAAAATTGCGTGACGTAGTACTAGAACGCTCCCATTTATTAATGTGTCTTTAAAAGAAAATTGTACAAGAAACTAAGTTTTGAAAGAAGGTTAGCATTGAATGCTTACTCTAACAGCTTATTTAGATGCTGATGATGATGAGAGCTGATTTAGATTTACATTAGCATTATTTTAAATGTATTCTTTAAATTGTGAGTTTTATAGTAACAGTACTTTAGTTACTAGATCATTCAAAAATACTCAAAACAGGACATACTTGTACGATGAGTCGTAGAAGTGTTTGCTGTTGTTCCATTAAGTGATTCATTTCCCTGAGTCGATATTTTTGTTTTTCTAACTGTGATGCTACATAATCCTCGTTACTTTCAAGTACTATGTCCAAAGTAGCTAAAATTCATAACAAATAAAATTATATTATTCTTAGAACATTTTAAAATGTAAGAATTTCGATATTTTTAAAACAAATAATATGAAAGAAAAAAATGCGATCTAAACCAATTTTACGTTGTAGCGCCACCTAATTATTATAGTTATACGTACGTATATCATTGTCGCGTTGTATTCCAATAAGAATACAAAAAAACTAGTGGCGTTACAACCTCTGCTGGGGAATTGGCCTCAACTTTCTCTAGCTGTTTCGTGAACACTTGATCGGCTTTCTGTGCGTGCGACACACGCCGTAGATTTTAAGGTCCTAGGCATGTTAGTATCGTTGCCTATATCGTTTACCTTTGTATATACGAGTGTTTATACTGAATAATAAAAATGCGCTGGCGAATATGTCGATGGCGATTTTTAGTAAAAATGATATTTTCTTACCATCTTCAGAGAATGGGTTTGTAAACCATTTACGTAAAGTCTCAAAGAAACCAAGTTTGCAGTGATTCGTATTAGGATATTCAATTACTTCGTTTTTATCAACTTTCTCCAAACAAAATGCTGGTAATTTCCTTTCGAGCTCGGTGTGTAGTACTACCTAATGGTTAAAATTAAGAAAATGATTACAGTAATTAATTCGCCTAAATAAATTGCTAGCTAGCGGCGTTTCATTGCCTATATTTTATATATTTTATTGTTACACGCGTACAATAGAAATACAGAATTAAAGAATAGCGTAAATAAAAAACACTTTGTGTATATTAATCACAATTATAATATGTATTAAAATTGTGATCAAGTAGGCTGTTAACCAGTGTGGGGAAAATTCTATAGTTTTTGGTAGACTCATTATAATCTGTGAAGTGTGTATTTTATTTTTTTAAATCACCCCATATCTTTCTTTAAATAACTCATGTTCTACATGCGCTGCGAAGACATAAACCTACTGAGTAACATTCAATAGAGGACGCTTTTTTCAATGTATGTAATAATAAAAGATGCACCGTGCGTCATAGTAGTTAGTAGCCTGTACATTTTCCTCTACTTCTTTGAAGAAGACAGAAAAGAAAACGCAATTAGACTAGATTGTTTTATATATAGGGGGGGGGTTATATAGGGTTTTGTTATAAAAAAATTGGAACTATTTGAGTTCCATATTTGTTTTAGTCACGAGGCAATTAAACAAGTATGACGTTCCTTCTAATGTAAAAGATCAAATATATTTACGTTGTTACAAGAACAATGTCTTACTTGCATAGCCAGCCGTTTCAATTGAGCGTTCCGTCTCACACTTTCGATGTCACCAACCGCCAAACCGATAAGCAGGTTCATTAGAAGAATCGGCATAAACACCATGAACAGGCCAAGCATAAAGAAAGTCATCAAAGGAAACGGTAGAACAAGGTCCGTCTGCGACTCTGTGTTATAATAGGGCTGGATGTATGTTCCCACAAAATCGATTTCTCCTAACATCATAGCAAAGGTGCGCATCAGTGCCATTGGGATACTGTTAAATGAAAGGTGGTGACCCTGAAAGTAATATTAAATAAATAATTCGCCAAGCCAAAATCGCAGAGCAAGAAGCACTCGCAAAATTTAAAAAGCTTATAACAGCAAATTTTCATGACGTCACGAACGCAAAGCATCTACTTTCAAACAGCAAACTTGGACGCAGACTGGTATCTATTAAAAGTTGTTCGTTAATGAAATTATCTAAAAATAATTGAAAACAACAGCGACAAATTTTATTCGCATGAAAATGAGCTAGATTTAACATAATGTATATTATGTTTTTGTAAGTTTTATGTCTTTTGTTATATTAATAACATTATTTAAATCCAATTCAAAGTCAATATGCAACCAGTTCCGTAGCGGTGAATCAAGGGCGTAGAGCGGGAAAGAGAACTGGCAAGAATCTCAACCCATTTATACACTTTTGCCAAGTTTCGTTAAACACATTACACGCAGACTAGGTTAGTCTTAAGTCTAAAATATAACTGCTAATTACAATTACAATTCATTCGTTTATAATTATGGAAATCACTTTGAACAGAAAGTTGGAAAACAATAATCTAGCTCATTTACAAAGCGTTTAACATAACATCTAATGTGTAATATTTCGCAGTGTGATTAAATACCGTAGCAGCGAAACCAACTTTTGACAGGAGCACGTAGAAAGATAGTCCAAATGCAATAATCAAAATTGAAAAAACCATTAACACTTTTATAAGAGTCTGTAATATTTCCAAAAACATGACGACGTAGATTCCAATTTGATCAAACCGTTGTAAAAGCAATAAAAGTTCGAACCATGATAAGAACATAGTCAGTGACGCGGCTGAGTACTGAAACGAAAAACGAAATTGTTAAATTAATGTATCTTGTATAATATATTCAAGCTATTGGTTTAATTAAATAAATAATAAATATTTTTAATTAAGAACTCAATAATTAATTTAATGATATTAAATCAAGTTGATCATGCATTGATTTATATCAAATAATAATACTATTTATGAATGTGTGTTACTGTGGTATGCCACAGACTATTTATACAAAGTTTTTACTTTACAAAGTTCAATCCATATAATAACCATTAGTGTTGCAATCATAGGCTTTAATTATTTGCAATATCTATAATTATTATCTATATAATTTAAACACTAATGAAGCTAAAATATCAAAAACAAGATATTTTATAATGAAAAGGCCTACCTGTAAGTTCTCAGAGGATTCAGAAGGCCAGACCATTAATGATGAGCTCACGTACAAAATCCAGGACACAAAATTTGCAGGATCAGCCAAGTAATGCCATTTCTGTTGCTTAATGTTATAAATTTCCCAAACAAAATAAATACAAGTATAGACGCGGATTGCCATAGTGCACGTGTAAAACGCTACCATTGACTCAAAAGCAATTGTAAAGGGGAATATGGTTATTTTATCTGAAAAAGAAATCAATGGTTACCTACATAATGAGACCATTATTATGTATATTATAAAAACCTTACCTTAGGTACTCTATAAACAACTTACCTGATTCATATGGTGAAGTGAAGTTTGTAAACGTAAAGTTTTTAGACAGCCTCGAAAAATTCTTAAACATTGATGTGTGATTCTCAACGCTGGCGTTTCGCATTAGAAGTGATCGTTTCTCAAATTCAGTTGTGTTTCTCATAAGAAGGTATCCATAGAGGGTGATAAAAACAAGAAATATACAATAAAATAGCAAATTCATTAAGTGAAAGTATTTTCCGTATGAGTTCCATTTCATCTGAAGATATTTTTGACTTAGAGGATGAGCCAGCAGTTCGACCCGACCGTGCGCCACCATAGCCTGTAAAATTAGTTATCTTATATTAAGCAGGTTTTAAAAATTTAATTAATAAATACAATATCTTAAACATTTCATTATTGCATACTATCACGATAAGAAGCAAACAAAAAACAATCACGGAACATTGTCACAATGGTCTGGAACTAAAGCTTGCAATATTGAATACATCGCTGACCACATATTGCTAATTGTCAAAGACCAACACCAGTTTGTGCATGGGTGTAACCAGAGTAGAGTGCGTGTGTTATTATGAAAACCATACAAGGATGTTTTACTGGTATATTGTGATATTGAAACTGGTGAAAAGTGATTAAAAGGTGGCGAGATGGTTTTTATTAAGACATGTAGTTGTTAAGCGAAGCGTCATAGTGCTTCACTCACGTTGATAACACACAACGGTTCGGGGCGAAACTTGGGGTTGTCTAGCGCCTGTCTCAGCGCTGCAATTTCAAGTTTCGTGTGTTGGTAGTATCTGAAGCGGTACTTAATCTGCGATGGAGCAAAGAAAAAATAACATTCAATTTAATTTCAGACTTACGTTCATTACAGGCAATGGTGATTTTACAAAAACATCTGGCTTCTTATTGACATCGTCAATTATAATCGGAGGGCACAGAGCAGAGAAGGTGTATTTTATCTAAATTTTACAAATATTAGTATTATGTGAGAGAGTATAGAAAAATCTACGGAATAATAAAAGATTGTTTATAATATAGTAAAATGATTTTGTGACCAAACATAATATTAAGTACAAGAAGAAAACCCTAACCTGGCCACCAACATATCGTGTACTTACATAAAAACTTTTTGAATCTTTCTTGCAGTTCGCTTTCGTTATACATTTGTCCTGAACAGCCTCAAATACACGAGGCATGTACGCAATAAGAGCTAATGTCACGCAAGGGTGGCGGTCAGATCTTAGAGACATTACTTCTTGGGCTCTGAAAAAACACGAGGGTTATCGAACCAAGCAAGAACATTATTCGCTTTAAAGCTTGAATATTCGACCCTCAACCCTGAGGTCGTGCGTTCGATTCCCGGCTGAACCCCAATGAAATTTGCTTTCTATGTACGCATGTTCGCATGAATAAAGGCTCGAACGCAGGGGTGCACCTACTTAAGGGCTTTTTGGGCTGCCACCGAGGTATACAAAAGAACTCCAGTCCCCGCTAAAATCAATAGGCGATATTTTAAATTAAAAACAATTTAAAAAAATTCAATCATAACGTTGGCATCCCTGAGATCGATCAACCCATATGCGATGCGCGTCTATCAAATGGAATCCGTTCAATATCGAAATTAAATCGATCAATATTGTTATAGATACTGTATCTAAAAGTATACCTGTGCTCGTGAGTAACCATGGCGAGGGCGGCCTCAGGAAACTTGTAATAGATAGCATAGTCAATGGCACTCATATCAAGAGAATTGTAACTCAGGCAACACCCCATTGATAATAATAGAGCAATTGAGTTTGGTTTATTTTCCATAGTAGCTAGATGTAACGGTGTATTCTGTATGAGAGGCACAATTGTAAGAAAAACAGTAAAGAGTATACAACAATTTAGTTATAAATTCGATCATATTTTGCTGTTCTTAACGATAGTTTAAGAGCTTTTATAATAATATGAACACTAATTATGTATTTGAATACTCTAAGATGTAAATTATATATAATATACTGTCAACACTGTGTACATATAGTCTATACAAATTAGGTACATAGAGTTGTACATGCTTTTGTTTTTAATTAAAAAAAATTTAATGTCTCATAAATAGGTATTGTAAATTGCAGACTTACGCCATCTTTATCAGCTTGGTCTAACAGGTGTGAGTGCACAGAATGTAAAAGCTCAATGGTTTGAGTGTACCCGCTCATTGCCGCTAGATGGAGCGGATTACGGCCGTTGTGGTCTCTGTGCAGGAGCGCGCCTCTATTGAGCAATAAGTGAACTACTCTTGTATGCCCCTCCCGTGATGCAATATGTAGAGGTGTTAAACCTTCGCCATCACTTTCATTAATTATAAACGTACCCTTCTCAGAATCGAGCAACTGACAAACGGTGTGATAACGGCCATATCTGCAATTAATTATCGTACCTTACCGGCCATATATTTTAAAAAACCTATTGTAGGAGGTACTTGAAAATGTTTTTCAACACTTTTACGTCTAGAAATAGTTTGATGGGAGACTTCAATTCAAAGTTATAACGGTTAATCTCATAAACGAATTGTCCTGACCATAAGTCTAATTTAGTAGATTCTAAATTCTTTTCAAAATTTTCTAAGCATACTTCTTGCCACTTTGTTACTGTTGCTTGCTGTACTATATGATATTAATTTTACCTTGCTGCAAAGTGTAGAGGACTTTCGTTTTTATTATTCTTGAGATTTATGCAAGCCCCAAGTTTAATTAAGTTTTCCAACGATCGAATATGTCCTTCGCGACTTGCGTAATGCAGAGGAGAACAACCAGTCTTATCTTTTTCATTCAAAAGCATTTCTAAGCTTGGCTCACAGTGTTCCTACACCAAGAATTATATTATTTTAAGTCATGAAACTATACTATTGAGTATATATACGTCTATGAACTCAGCACTCCATTAAAAGTGCAGTACTTACTTGGCAATTCTTTGCAAACTCCTCAAGCCGGCCTCCATTAATTACAATCAAGTGTAGAACGTTTCTCATGTTTATATCTTTTAACTTTAGATCGGCACCAAGACGTATCTAAAATAATATTTTTTTTTACTATATAATATATCCATCTTATTGAACAGGTTTTTTTTATAACGAATTTCTACATGTTATATCCAATGTTATTAAATTGTCAACTATTTGGTTGATATACTCGTATGCAACACACTCAAAATATTTGGCATGGTTGCTTTGAGTTTAATAATAGACGAATTATAATATTTATAAAGATTTACCAGCACGTGAACTGTTCTCCAACCACCCCTTGAAGCGGCAAGTAATATTGGAGATCGCATCTCCTTATCCAGTGGATTCATATCTGAACCTTCAGACACTAAGTAGTTCACAATATCAGGGTGATCAAACATGGCAGCACAATGTATTGGTGTCATTTTTTGAACATCACATGAGTTGAGACATGGCATTTTCTCTGCTGGTTGCATTGTAAACATAAGCTTTACAATATCAAGTGCGCCCTAAAAGATACGATAAACATATTGTACAAAACATTTTTCGTGCCGTCAATGGTTTCGATTGTTGGTGAAAAAAATAATTCACTTCACTTCACTTTATTTATAATGGCGACTTCTGTGTAAATCAAAATTCCGCCAATGTCGCGTTCTAAGTCTTCACACGGTGCGGGTGAGGATAGATTTGATAATTTTGATAGATTGAATTTAATCTAATAAATATAAGCAGAGTTACCCAAAACAAAAATGACGTCACAATAAAGACAACACACAGACATCTAATAATATATACATTATACTACAAGGTATGGAGGGGAGAATCTTATTTATAACTTTAATTTTAAAAAAATAATTATTTAGTTTTGGAAGGCCAAGACTGCGTGCCCACATACCTATAAAAGTAACTTCACCTGTCATAGACAAATGATTATTCTTTTGTTAAAAGTGAAACAATCTGTACCTGGGCACATGCTAGATGTACGGGGGTAGAATAGTCGTGTTGTTGTGTAGAAATCTTTGCTCCAGACTGAAGACATAGTTCGACAGCCTTAATGTCGCCCCCATGTACAGCGGAGTGAAGAGGAACATTTCCTTCATTATCGTAGAGCGATAACATTTGTTCACGAGTGCATCCCTTGGATTCCGCCCATTGAAGAAATATTTCCATTGTTCTTGAGGAGGCATTCTTTGCTGCTTCGTGAATGGGGTAGTAGCCATTATTGCATGGGCGGTTGCACTCCGAATTCAAATCCGTGATCTACAAATAGTATATGTATACATTTACAAAAGATATATATTTCAAATTTTAACAATTTGTATAAAGCTATCTACACATAGTAATTAACAAAATTACAGTTTAAAAATACATAAATGTCACCGAAAAAACTTAATTTAATTATGATAAATTATATGTGTGATGTATAACGCAGATGTTCGTGTATTAGTAAGAGACCACCATTCACCATTGAACGTTATGTCTTTTTGGGCACTTATCATTCGCCCCTAGGTCGAAGGAAAACATCTTTAGACAACTGGCTAGCCTCAGACCCAAAAAACCAATTAACGGCGTATGTCAGGCACAGAAGGCCTAACCTACTTGCCTATTAAGAAAAAGAAATGATCACGAAACAGATACAGAAATCTGAGGCGCAGACCTAAAAGATTGCAGCGCTGCCATGTATACAGATGCAGTGTGCATAATTAAGTGAAAAATATTGTTTTAAGATTACCAATATCTGTGCGCATAAGTCGTGGTCATGGATCGCTGCGAAGTGCAGAGCAGTACGACCATGTTCACCACCAAGATCAACATTAAATTCAGTCTTGTACTTGGCGAAGACTTGTAAAACGGATACCTGTAAGTGGTACATCAATTTAAGGACGTGTTCTTATTCTGTGATACATATCTGTGAATCACATGATAGTATTCTCTATGGTTTGACACTTGCAAGATAGGTGCCACATTATTATTATTATTATTATTATAATATGGTTGTTTCAAGCTGTTTCACTCACCTTGTTTAGTTCGGTAGCTAAATGTATGGGAGCTTGGGTCTTCTCATTTAAAATTCCGGTATCGACATGCCTGAAATATTACCACTCGTAATTTCGTCTCAGTTGATAACATTTATGAAAAACTAAACCTAATGTCGTAGACCCTAAATCTACGAATAGATGTCACGAGTACGTCACAAGACGACAACGTAGCAAAGCTACGAGTCAACGGCGTACCGGCATCTTCATAATCCCCGTAGGATTTTAGAATATCATGATTGAAAAACACTGCTTATTTATAAAAAATACAATTGATGTATAAAAATCATAGATATTAAAACTGTATCATAAGTTATAGAGATTTTATTTGAAAGTTCTCGTATAATTTTCCCATATGTAATCGGTGGACTGAAAAGTTCGTAGACGACACATAGATAGCGCTGGCGATGAGTTGAGTTAGAGCTAACCTTGAAACACGTGTATATAATACATAATATTGACCACTGTCGAACTATTAGTTTGTGAGTTATTTCGAGTCAAGGAACATTTGTTTGTTTCAAAAATTGATGTAAAGGAGTTTCGTCTGTTAATAAAACATTGCCTTTTGGCGAAAAAAATACTATTAAAGTTGGCTTAAAAAACATTTTCGTACTCTGCACCAGAATAATCAACCGTTGAGAAATGATTTGCTTACTTTAAGCACCGAGGTGCACGCAGTGGACGCCCCAAAGAGGCCGACCGAAACATCAAATAAGCCCACAAAATAATTTTAGATAATCGAAAAGTAAAGTTGAATAAGAAAGTGGTTGCCACGCGAGCTCACAATCGATAAAAAACAACAATCAAAATCAATTAGATCAAATTATTCTATGCTATACTAAGAAATTTTCAGCCCACCTATATTATATATATATATATATATATATATATATATATATATATATATATATAATAATAGGCTATATGACTAGATAATTTACCATGATTAATTTCGAGAACCCACCAAATTGCTTCTCTAGGCAAGATGATGTCACGCCAGACATACGACGTACCACGTTTGTTATCACGTAAACAAATGATTTAACGTTATTATCTTAAATTACACAAACATACATAATTAGGCAGCCGAAGCAATTAATTGAGTTTTGTGTCACGTGACCATCGTCTCTTTTTGATAAATAAATTAATGATTATTTACAAGTTCTGTTACTCCTAAACAATTTAAGGCCATGTCTGATACACATACATACATAGTTTAATGAGTAAATAAGCCTTTATAAAACATAATTGTTTGTATTAAATAAACAACCTATTCCTTCTGAAATAAAGGAATAGGAGTTTTTATTATAGAAGTTACATTAAAGTGAATCACGTGCCGGGTGCAGTTGTGACTTTTGATTGCGGTAACAAAACTAAAGAGAGATCATCATATTTCATACCTTGAACTTGTAATAAAAAGTTTCTACATGGAATATCTCCGGAAGATTAAATGATAAACGAATATATAGCTCTGACAAAAACCCAATTTCAATGTTGGAATTAAAGAAATCACTATTAATTTTACATGCTGTTAAATACTCAATTCCCTTCCCTATATTATAAACTACCAAATACCGGTTATTGCGTCTCCATACCAAATACCGAGCACAATACGGAATGAAATGAAATTAATGGAATAGTTCAAAACCTTATTAAAAGTACCACTAAGTAGCGTCTTCAACATTGTAAGGTTAGATTGTAAACATACTCACTGTTGCAGAAGAAATTCGATGGCGTCTAAAGACTCATTCTCAACAGCAACGTGAAGTGGGTGTTTCCCATATTGTCACGAATATTTAAATCTAAACAAACATATGTAATTAAATAAGCCGAAATGTTTTTCGTTTCAAAATAGTGATTATGATATTGCTGAAAAAATTATGAATTATAATGTATTCTTAAACTAGAAAAAAAAGAAACAAACAAAGTTAAAATCTTTTTATACGGAAAGCGATTCCGTTTCGACTTTCAAACACGAAAAGAAAACTTAAACCCCTTTTATAATAAAAAATAAACAATATCGATCTTCGATAAACGATGAAAAATCTAATTTCCGAACGTCGGAACAAGGATCGGATGAGTGACACAAGCCCTCGGGCTTGTACGTTTACAAGCTGTTATTTAAGCTAGAAATTTGAAACAAATGTTTATAACACTAATTCTAAATAAGTAAATACGACATTAATTAACCTTTTCTTCTGATACTTTCAAATAAGAATGAAAATAAAGACGATTATCATGACTACCTACACTTACCTCCAGAATAGTTGTTGATAAATAGGAGGATGTTTGTGTGGTTTCTTGCTGCCGCTTGGTGAGCAGGTGTCCTTCCGCGAGCATCTTTTACAGTAAGACGAGTTGGTTCACTCATATACAAACGCATGAAATCTTCCACATTGCCGCTCTCTGCTGCCTATAAAGCATATGAAAAAGATTGTAAAAAAACATTTATCGCAAGCATTATAAAATTTAAAAGATTTCGTAATAACAAACATCAAAAAATAATCAATATTTAAAGTATTATTCGCGTCATAATATAATATAGTATTTATTATAGGTACACTATTTATTTATTTATTAAAGTTTCCCACATCGTACAGAGTACTAAATCTACGGCATATTTTAAAAACTCTTCCATCTAAAATGAATGACAATTTAAGTGTTGCACATAGTATTGTCTTATTAACATAACTTTTACACATTTAAAGAAACACTTTTTTACGGAATTGAAGTTATGTATTATTATAAACTTATAATTATTTTACATAATTATGTATTATTATAAACTTATAAATGTTTTACATAATTAAAAAAAAAACGACGTTTGGCGTGCTTTACAGCGTGCGTGCCACCTTGACCACGCCACGCCACTGTAAACTTTTAATTATGTAAAATAATTATAAGTTTATAATAATACATAACTTCAATCCGGTAAAAAAGTGTTTCTTTAAATGTGTAAAAGTTATGTTAATAACCTAATCCTGTTATAATAACTTGTTAATAACCTAATTATGTAAAATAATTATAAGTTAATAATAATACATAACTTCAATCCGGTAAAAAAGTGTTTCTTTAAATGTGTAAAAGTTATGTTAATAACCTAATCCTGTTATAATAACCTGTTAATAACCTAATTATGTAAAATAATTATATGTTTATAATAATACATAACTTCAATCCGGTAAAAAAGTGTTTCTTAAAATTTTAGTGTTACAAAATAATTAAAAAATACAAGATAAAATAAGCATACAATAAAATAACCAGAAATTTTTGGCAAATAACTGGCACCCAACACTGCTTTCTCTAAAACCGATCAGCCCACCGAATATATCCAGCTTCGGGTAAGCACTGTTCAATCCGTTAAAATCGCGAAGAATTCGAAAGAGAGGTGCCTGAACTCCTAGGTTGTTTTTTTTGCAGACGGACTATTATCATCTATATTGCAATATATCTCTCGCGCACATTAAAAGCAGAGTTCAGAAAGTCGGCTAGGTAGGTCATTCGGCTTAGCTATTTTTTAATATTATATATTTTACTAAATCTTAAGTACAACTGTTTACAATGAGTGATAGAGTAGTAGAGTTAAAATATTGAAGCTTAAACATAACATTCAATAAACTCTAGTACTGCTCACAAAGCTACAAATTTCATTGCCATCTCAAAGAAAAAATCGAATACGCTAAAAGGTGCACTCGACGGTACACAACACGGGTATTAGATCGAATAGAGGTAGAATTCCGAATAGTTATTTAAGTCAGAGTTAATCAAACGTGAACTCAGTGGAAAGTAATTGTATTTTACTTTTCCATTACCCGTGACTGAATTTTACGGGTAAATAAGTATAAAAATAGGTCAGTATTTTCTGAGCAATCCAACTACCTTTGCAAGATTTCATTGAAAATAAAGTAAGTAGTAGTATTTGGCGGAACTATACATTAACGTGGAAAATTATAATAGTTTAATGTATTCCAAAAACCAAGGACTAGCTGTACATTAGTGAGAAGACCTCTTAATCAAAAATCCCCAATTTGGTTTCCACGTGTCACGGCCTTTTCTAGTAAATTGGCTGATATAAACTAAATCGATGTCACTATGAAACGTCGTTTTAGACGTTTCAAGGTTCACTAAACTTAATAGTGCGCTCAATTTTGTTCAAATTGTCATGTTGTCAGCCAAAGCATCCAAGGTATTGGCATTTATCCTTGGACGACGAACTTTTAATGCCACATAAACATGGGCATGGTCAAGTAATTATTTTTGTGTTGTAAATCAATTGAAATCTAGATGATTATCTGGAAATAAAAGTTTCGCACCACAAGCGCCGGGGAGCTTAGCAATATGTGAAGAAATAAAAATAATAACTATTTTTGCAAAATGAAATTGTCCTGCAAAAAAACAGCAGCTCTCCGGGTCAGCATACGAAAAAAATATAAAGTTTTGAATTGAAATAGGTTTCTAATTTTTTTTGTTCCTATACTAACCAACTGGTTCAAAAATTCCGAATTGTTCCATACGAATGTTTGACAAGGCATAACCGTTTTCCTATTTCATTTCAAAGTTTACTTTCAATTCCGGTGCAAATTTGTTACGTCCATGTTCGGAACTGTTTAATTCGTTAGGTAGAAACAAAGTTTTATATAAAACTTTGTTCATTTAAATTCAGCATTTCAAAATCAATTAACAAAGTGCCAGAGAGAATCAAACACTTGCATACGTTGGTTTATAAATGTATATTAATAGAAATATTATAAACCTAAAGAGTTTGTTCCTTTGGTTCAACGGCGTATCTCCGGAAAATTAAATATGAAGAACATTGTTTTATGTTGCATAATCGAGTAGACTGATTGGAGCGCATAAATGAAAAATATCGCCACACACATTTTGGTATTACCGGCCATTATCTAATCTATAGTTACATATATAAATGGTTGTGTCCATTTTTTTTTTTTTCTAGAGCCTCGAAGAAAGAAGCAATAAAGAAGTGTAATAATGTGTTGAGACACGTTTTCCACATGCACACGATACGCTTGACCATTAAACAAGATGTTAAGGTCTCATTAATGAAGTCCTTCATTAATATGAGTAACGCACACTTAAGAACAAAGTGTGTTGTGGCGATGCAGGGTCTATTTAATATTTGTGTTTATATAAAATATATACCTTTTTAACATGCTTAAAACATCAGAATAAATATAAATAATAAGATAACTTTGATATAAAACTGATAAGTATGGCAACAAAGAAATATGAAAAAATGACGTTATATATACAATGTTACCTTGACGTTACGTTGACGTTATACATAAGATGTATATTATACATCTTATGGATTAAATATGTCAGGTATAGAAGAGTTAATACCCTATAATCCCAGTAGTCATAAAAACTAAATCAGTATAGATGCACTTTTAATTAAAGTACTCTTTCGTAACTCTCTCTAAAAGAGACTAATAAAGTTTACACGGTACAATTTGACTGATTAGATTTTTATCAAGGGGGTAAGTATATGTACAGTTGTACACATTAGGTGGCCGTAAGAATGTTCTCTCAAGTTAATGCAATTGCAAAGACATGAGACAAAATTACACGAAAAAAAATCTATATAATATAAATAGCTGTATGTTATGTTATGTAATGCATTTAAGACAAAATATAATCTTAAACCATCAAGTAAATTGCGAAAGTCCTAACAAAACAACCAAAGTCGATTTTTAATTGCCGGTTAAATTTATCCGTCGGCTCAAAAATCTCAAAAAACTATAGAGTTCTTAATCTGGTGTAATTTACCTAACATTACATTGATTTAACATTGTTAACTTCTAATTTCATTCCCATTTCTCAGTCTCTTTAACTTCATAGCAGATATATTGCGGATTGTCTTATATTAAATTACAACCATCAAAAAAGGTTCTACCTCTTATATAAAAATATCAACACTCAAATTTAACAAATAATAATAAGATATCTCTTTGATATTTGTTTCAGCACCCACCCACTAATGAAGGCATGAAATTTTGAAACTCCCACACTCACTACACAAATTGTTAGGCTTGCAAACTAACCTATTGTTTCTTATCGCGTGGGTAAATTATGAAAACAGAATATACATTGGTATGCAACAAGGATCGCGTTGGTCATGCAGATTCTCTATTTGAACTGCGCAATTTTGAATTTTATTTATTGAGCTAATAATTTTTTACTAACAAAACTGGAGAGTCAAGGCCGCAATCCCACTTAATCTTACGAGTGCGGTCTATTGGTGACCACGGATATACAGAGTTGCCTATACATTTAAAATGATTTTTTTAGATTTGGTATTAATGTTACGTTTTTATTAAAACGCTTATATAGGCACATTTATATTTTTGTTTTATTTTCTACGAAATACATTTTAAATAAATTCGTCTTCGAATTAAATCTAGTCATCTCAATTTGTGAACATTAGTAAACTCATAAATTTTGGCGCAACTGATTATGACACATTTAGTTCGATTAAGATATATTTTGCTCCATATTTATTTTGCGCTACATTTATACCAAAAAGAAAGCCGTTCGCTTACCGCTGGGACATCAGTCCTGACCTACGTCACAATCAATAATTAATAATGTATTGAAGAAAAAAAAAATAGTAAAAAAGACCCCGCTAACTTCATTTCGCCTTAATATGTTTTTTTACTTTCTCTGCCTTTTTTAGATATACCAACATATTTTGCGATTCATTTTTATTTGTATAGCTTTTGTTACTATTGGGAGTTAGGATTTGTGAAACTTTTTGTAAAACCTTCTTTAAATCCTATTACGATAACCGAAGAAATCAAAATAAACCAAGGATACGCGGGAATGCAGGCTGCTCTGGGAATGAAGGTGGAATACTTTGTCAGACGTAAGAGCTCTGTTGAAAATTTTAAAATAGAAACATCTAGAAACCTACGGATTTATAAACGAAACACTTTTTTTTAAGTTAAATGTCAACGACTTCAATCGTTTAAAACAAGATAGGGGTGGTGGGATCGCAATGCTGGACTAACAAAAACCTGTAGCTTAAGTTAATTATGGGCTCTTAAAACTAAGTGACACTGTTACCTATAACATACGATGATAACTTATTTTACATTATCGGAAACGAGAATATGATATTATAATTTATGAGTGTATGAAAAACTAAAAGCCTCATTTATTACTAGCAAAACTGACATATTACAATTTATTGGGTTCAAGTGTAGGATTATTGTTAACATTTGCGTTTCTAATATATAAACTAATAATAATAAACTAAAATATAACTTAATTAATGTTAGGTTATATAATTTGTGTGTGTAAAAAATTCTAGTCTAATTTACCTGCAGCACTTCTTCAATTGACACCTTGGGCGCCTCTTCCTGTATTTTAGTTAATGGTCGTGGTGGACTTCGACCGTTGCTTTTGAAAGTTTTCATTTTAATGTTCACTGAACGTTTCTTTCTTGACAACCTCATTTTTAGTCACACAATAATACTGTTTACAAATAGGATCACTATTTCATAACTTTAGACCGAGGCTAGTTTCACCTAGTTAACGAGTGTCCAGGCCGAGTTCAAAGCTGTGACTGCAGGCTGGAGGCATCCCATCTCTCTCGGGAGGTAAAGAGTGGATATCCTGACTTGCGTTTTATTCCATGTGTGTATCCAGAGAAATATGTTCTTAACGATTTTATAATTGGCGCCTAAAATTATCTAAGAGTATCTACTATCTATCGCTAAAAGATATTTTGAAGGGTTTAAGCAGATAATACTATATTTTTTAAAGTTAAAGCAAACTTTATTAAACTCTAAAATTCTTTACCACAACTTTGAAAGACCGGTGAAGGTGAATTATTCTGTGGTGAGTTTGTTTTAATTATCGATAAATCCTTTCGATCGAAATATTATCTATTTTGGGAATGAATTATATCTTTGAATTACCATTGTTTTCTCAACTCAAGTATCTAGTACTTCTACTTCAACTAGTGTTAGCCTGGAGGCTAGGCATTCGGGTCTCAACCTTAAGGCGTGTGTGGCCTACACTTATGTGTAAATGACCTATGCCCGAATCTGAACTCTTTTTATTTGATTTGGGATTCAAATGTTCATGGTCAGAAATGAGAAATCATGCATAGACTGAGATTTTCAGATTATAAAAATTGCTACTACATTTGACAGAGTATCATCAAATTGTAAATGCACAGAAGTTACTGGTACGTTTCACTTGAAGGTTAGTTGGCACGTTCCAAAATAGCGGCTTTCAGGACACCACCAACTGCCTACCACGTCCACTTAAACCAACGTAGCCATAATTGTTATTTCATTCTCCTCGCGGAGTTTTCGTTAAGTTTTAAGAAACCCTTGTTGTTAAATATATAAAAGATTGGATTGGATAGGATTGGATACACCAAAAACTCTTTATAACTTCTCACACTTCTTCACAATTTCAATATAAAATATGTACTTGAATTCTGTAAAATCTTGTTAACATAGCAAATATAGCATGCTGGTGTTTTTAAATTTATAATCGGTTGTAAAAGTTAAATACAGCCAGCAATAAAAACAGTTTTGTGTGAAAAACTAAAAACCGTTAGCTAATTTTATAAAAGTTTTTGCAAAAACTACACTCGCTAATCACGAATAAAATAAACAAAAATTTAAATGTGTCTAAAAAGGGTGATTTTTTTCTCGCCCCATTTTCCCGAATAGATAATTTTCTTTGAACGTTACTTTTCACTATGTCTGACGTCTTATGACAGACAATGAGGTATTTGTAAGCTAATAGACTTGCCCTTATTACACTTATTATTTATATAAAAGTTGTTACATTTCTTTCCACGCATAGTGTGTATTCTTCTTCTATCTTAGAAGACCGAAAATATTAATTAAATACTACCCTCAAAATGGTTATAGGGTAACACAAAACATATTTAACGGGTTAAAACAATATTTATTAAAAACTATCGTAGTAGAGATCAATGCTTGATCAACTAAAAATATTTCACTTATGTAATTTTTGGGGCTTTGGCAATGATTGCCTTAACAAGACTTAATGATATAGGTTATTGTAGACCTTAATAAAAAGTAATAACGACGCCATTACCATTCAAGAATCTGGTACAATCTAAATGGAAATAAAATATGAAACAATCTTATTACAAAAAGATGTGATAGGGGATCCCAGGGCGTAATGCAGCCTTGTATAAACGGGGTTTTAAGATTCAGAATAGCAAAGTTATGAGTGGAGGCCCAAACACAACTTCTACTTTTGGTTATAAGATTCCACCTATGATATAGAAATCTTTCAACACATATTTTTTTTAGAAATATCTAATAGCAATTAAATTATCACTATAGACTTACCTGAAACAGTTTGGGGACACCGAAAGTAATGTTAGGTAAAGTGTGCGCTCGTCGAAATAAAAACATAATGCTTTTCACATAAACTTTTGTTTATTGCACACTGCTCAGTACGTGATGCATATTTTAATGAGTCCACGCATGTCAAGTGGCGAGTTTTTCTTATCATGAAACCTCTATTAGTCCATTACACGTGCAAACAAAGTCCTATCTAGTGATTTGGTATATATATCCTTCATTATATGTATATGTGAATCACCTGTTGCTGTTATATTTTTCCAATTATACCGAAACTAAAATAAATAAAATTTGTACGTATATATTGTATGTGTATTTCGTCATGTGTTATGTCATGTACATGACAAAAAGTCTAGTAAAATTAGTGTTTAAAAATTTAAATATTATCTGTTAGACATAGTACCATTTCAAGTTATTACCAAGAATATAAATAATGTAATGAACTCTGCAGTGTGCGGTACGGTATTTAATGATTGAATAGTTAAGGGCTGATTAAGGTCTATGACGTTTTTTCAGCTCCGGTTGATGCAAAATGTATTATTATTGATGAATTTCGTCAGTGGCCCACTCTATCATGTTAATAACTTCTAGTCCGATAGTAATGGTAATGGCGTCGTTATTACTTGGTAATAAGATCTACAATAACCTATAGAAGGTAGTCTTTTTAAGGCAATTATTGCCAAAGCTTCATCAGACACAGATTATATTAATAATATTATTTTTTAGGAATTTTAAGACGTAATAAAACATTATCATACAGTATTAAGTTTTAAAAATTCAACAGTAGTATATTATAATCATCATAAAGCGCAAATAAATAGTTGGCACGTCTAAGCAAGCCATAAGGGTGAGTGAGCATCTGGCGAATGTGCCGCGATTGTGCAGCTCGCGAGTCGTTTGCGAGCTACGCGCGTGCAGTCACGGCAATGGTTTGGTGCGCCTCTTTAACGCAACTCATGCAAGGCTCGTATAAGGCGTGCGCGCACTCAATTGTTGCGCTTACAGTTCCGTTTACTAGCGTGGGCGGAAGGACGACGCAAGCCGCTAACGCGCCGCCCGCGCGCTCATCGCGTACGGCGCTTAGGTTGCGAGCGAACTGCGCGCGGGCGGCGCAGGAAAACGAACAAAAATGCACTTTATATATAGGATTATATTAGTGTAAATATCAACATATCAGGCAAGATGTAATGAAGAATGTAAAATGAATATCTTCCTAATATTTGTAACTATTTACAGTGATACTCCATACTGAGGAGTTACTACGAACAATAGGTTACGTAAATTTAATACATTACGTCATATAAAATAAGTATTTCGATGGGAAACTTGTACATTAATTTCTGAATACACCCAGTATTCAGAAATTAACGTAAGGACTTGAATGGTTCAAATAGAACTCGAGTAGGTAGTTTACCAAAGTAGTAAATTGTACAATTTGTAGTACAAATGAATGCATTCGATCTGTCAAGAACTACCTTATTTATTTATTTATTCACACTTTGTTGCTTTATAATATAAAAATTTAACATAGGTAATTACATGTAAAGAAAAGGCAACTGGCGGCCTAATCGCTTTCGAGCGATCTCTTCCAGGCAACCACTGTGAGAAAAGAAAAAAAATGTATTAAATTACATAAGGTAGGCAAGAAGAGCAAAAAAAATACATGTATTACACATAGTTGTTAAGAAAAAGAAACTAAACAGGAACAAAAAACAAACTAAACTAATAAAGCATATATAATTTTTTTTTTAATAATAATAAAAATAAAAAGTGCACATGAATCATAATAATTTAATTTAAGATCAGTCTCACGTCAGTAGGTATTATTAAAGTTAGGGATACGATGTGGACAGGTAATGTTTGTACAGAAGAAATTAAAAGGAAGATAGAGAATAGGGACTAGAAGTGAATTCCATAGTTTAACTGCAGATACCTTAAAGAACTCGCCAAGAAAGGAGGAGTTATGACACGGGATTTCAAGGATATAGTTTTCGGAAGAGCGTAAGGTATAGTTATGTGATCCCAAAAATTTGAAGTCGTTTTGGAGATATGATGGAGTTTTAGGGTTGAACAGGATGGAATATAAGAGATGGAGGACGTGAGCATCGCGTCGCTGACGAATGGGTAACCAGCCTAGCCGCTTACGGAACGCAGAGATATGGTCGTACTTTCTTAGACCGAATATAAATCGTATACAAAAACTTTGGAGATGATCCAGTTTGTTTAGCAACTCCTCATTTAGAACGGAAGAGCAAGAATCGGCGTAGTCCAGTAATGGCAGGAGGAGAGATTTAGCCAGTGAGGTTTTAGTACTAAAGGGAAGAAAATTACTAAGACGTCGAAGGATACTGAAGGCACCGTACCATTTGCGGCTAACTTCTTTAACATGCTGCTCCCAGGATAAATTTTGATCAATTAAAACGCCCAAGTTTTTTACTGTACTAAATATATAAAGTCATAATATTTAAAGTCACACCGTCGATATGTACAGCAGGTACTCTGGCCCAATCAATTCTCGTCGTGAAATAAGGGCTGCCAATAATGATTACTTTACTCTTGTTGGGATTGATTAGTAGACCAAAGGTTTTACTCCAGGCAACTATCTTTGCCAGCTCATAGTTAGTAGATTCTGTGGCTTGTGGGAGATCATCGAGACTTGATTGAACGTAGATTTGAAGATCATCGGCGTATAAATGAAAATTGCTTGAAAGACGGAAAGTGAAGGAGTTAATATAAATAGCAAAAAGAAGAGGAGAAAGTACGCCACCCTGCGGAAAGCCAGATTCAATCAAACTCCACTGAGACATGTAACCGCTAGTCTTAATGCACTGGCGGCGCCCATTAAGATAGTTAGAGAACCAGTTAACTGCATGAGAAGAAATATTAATAGACCTTAGCAACCCCATTGGAATTTTGAAATTAATCGTATTAAAAGCGTTGCTGAAATCTAGCAACGTGAGAATTGTGAGTCGTTTAGTTATAAAGTTAACTTAAAAAATCTGAAAGTTGGTATACCTATCTTTGAAGTAATAGCATAACTGAAACCCTTTTCAATACTAAAAAGGCAAAGGTCTGCCTACGATAAATAATGGTACTCCTGTGGAGTTTTAAAAAGTTCAAAACAAAGTAAAACCTTCTAAATTCAAACTTTTTATAATTAACAAGAGCTTTTAACATTGCACGTGTACTTTCAGGGCCGTGAATTGAAAGTTGTGGCATTCAAGTGTTAAGCTTTAAAATATAATGTATCTTATTTATACAATACAATAAAATTCGATTGGATATTCAAAACACTTTATGGGTGACAGGAATGTTCTTTAAAATTGACAGTATTCATACTGAGAAACTTTAACTCGACAAATACATGAGGTAAAACTTATATAAGAAATACTAATAATTAATTTTAATCCAAACGTTTTTTAAATCACACAATGTTAATGATTTGGGCAAAACTTCGTTTATATACAAGCTCATCTTATATTCAGGGTCCTAAATCTTAAGATTTTCAACCGAATTCAGTTAAACCAAATTATTATCCATACAGATGTGAAAATGATGTTACATGCGATCACTTGGCGACATTCTTACCCTGAGTATTCTAAACGGGCTCTCGGTTAAGAGACATACATCACCAGAAGTGACACGGTCTTGATTGTTCAACATCACTTGTAATTCTCCTCCTCGATCTAGTACCTTCTCTTGTCTCTCACCGCGGCGGCTCACAAACCCCCACAGCCAACTCTATAAGCAATAAATATTAATTAAAAGCCTATATTATTCCGTATCCGTATAACATTGGAGCGAATCAGGTGTGTTACTACACAAATTTTACAAGGTCTTAACATCAGCTAGCAAAAATTTTTTTTATTTTTTATTTTATTGAGAAAGATTTACAGCTTATTACTAACTTACTTACTAAATACAATGTTCTTTTACGCCATTAAATAAATCTTTACAAATAGTTAAGTACTAATAACATTAACTGGATTGGTAACAATAAAATGATTTTATTCAACTATATAAATATATATCAAAGAAAGTAATAAACTAAGTAAAAATTGGTTAAGTAACACTTAACAGTTTAGTATAACTTATACACTTATAAAAACATATGGTTCATCATACATTCCACTGAGGAGCTCAGATGTCATAGCTCTCCTTGCCGACACCACACTTGAGGCGATATGAACAACCATGATATATTTATTATCTATGTAGTGATGGCGCAATTTCGTTGCGGACTTAAAGTAATTTACCAAGTTATAAAATGCTTAATTAAAATAATGGTCTTGTGTATAGTTAATTGATTTCCACAAATGTCACATGTTAGTCGTATAATCACGAGGACTGCTTCTTTAAATAAAGAACACGATGATTCAACAGTAAGATAAATTACACCGATAAAAATTAATTTAATATGGGTCTGGCCTCAGATTGCATATATTTCTTTTATAATCTTTATATTATTATAGGTCATAAAAGTGCACAGTAATTAGTTTTCTTAGGATTTCTTTTCTCTATAGAAAAGGGATAGTTGCGCATATAGAAAATAGACCATCAGAGCGTAGACGGTTAGGTATAGATTGAACCCGCAACCGTAGAGTTGAGAACTTAGTTAAGTACGAAAATAAAATTTTATTGATAAAATCTTTAAAATTTTAAAGGTGAGTTTGAAGAATTTCAAATAATTCAATTTTCTTTAAAATAATCACGATGGTGATGTTGGGTTGGATGGACCCTGTCAGACATACCACTAGTTATCCATGTAGTTTAAAAATTAGAAAACTATTTTCCAAGTAAAAATGTTATCTACTGTCAAAGAAAAATGTGAATATAATTTGGAATGCTATATTATTTTTGGAGTTTTTTTGTTTGATAGGAATTTTGATAAGTTTTTGGTTTTGTTTACATTTGGTTATTCTCAATATTAAAGTTTAATAATTTGTCAATAATTTTATGTAGTTTTTATTGAGCTATCCCGTTTCTCCTTCAATTTATCCTCCAAAAACAAACTACTATTCCAAATATGCTGCAGTTCCCTATACTAATATCCAATTGTCAATCTCGTAAAAGTGGATGAAGCGAGAGAGGTATGTCCGAGAGGAGATCGACGCTGTAGAGCCGTTATCACGATGTCGATAAGGAATGAGTATTAGTGACTATACGTATGGTAGAACTTTTTATGTTCTTGTTATTTTCCTCGTTCAAATTATGCTTTATTTCTGCGTAAGTAGTGTGTAGTAGTTTCTAGTCACCTGGCGCTGCAGTTGGGCACAACAAACGTCTTATTATTATAACTGGTATTTTCATTCAATAGTAAAGATCACTACTATTAGAAAAGACCTTTAATATCTGAAAATCGGTTAGATTCCGTCTACGTCTTTCATTGTTTATTTATATTTCGAGGGCCTTGGATGCAGAACACTTCAAAAACATAGCATTACTTTGTATTTACTAATGTTATCAAACTTAATTTACCGGTGCTACGGAAATTATTACCTATGATTTAATTATTGTAATTTGTTTACTGAGGCAAAAATTATAGGCTGGATTATGGATATAGTTTGCTATATGTAATTTTACAAAATAATATTCTAAAGAACATATATTTAATTATATTTTGTCAAGTAAAAATCAATTCATTATTTTGAGGAAGAAAAACCAATTAAGCTGTTTGTGGATTTTATACGATTTCCCAGTGCCTCAACAGTACCTCTATATCCAGCTTCACTCAGATGGAAGCAGCATCAACTTGTTCAAAAATAGAATACGTTGTTTTAAAACTATGGTTGTAATTAAATTATTGTTTTAGAAGATTTACTCAATTAAAAAACACATTTCCTTATATGTGTACCTACCATAATTCTTAACTATTTTACGTTTTCTGTAGGTACCTATTAAACTCAATAAAATATTATATATATTTTTAGTCTATGCTATTTCAATAATCAAATGAAGACCCACAAAGGAAAATAATATTTGGTGCTAAAACAACTGAATTAACGGATACACAAGACAAACCAATTTTGTACAATTTATACACAGTGGTTGTTTACTGTCACTGTATACTAATTAGCTTTGCAGTATATTTTTAAAGGTACCATATTAAATAAAGATTCATGTTTGATTAAAACATTTTCTTAGTTGCTTAATTAGAAATACCCTGCGACCTCATTTTGTTGGTTTCACAGAAATAAGGTCGGATAAATAATTAGGTCGAATAAGACCAAAATAAGACAGATATCTCCGGTTTCCTTGGCTACCTGTTAATAATTTGTTAATATTATATTACTTACGCGAGTACATTAGAATAAATCTTTAACGAACAGTCATTTCAAGCAATCGTGGCCCATAATGACAACAATTTTTTAAAATGGCTTAGATTTTTAAGTAGTTGATAAAAGATGATATTTAAGACTTTAATATAAGTGTAAAACATTGATAAAACATTGTATCGTCTCGTGCGGTACGACTGTAGTTACTATAAGATGGCGTGTTCAACATGGTGATAATGGCACTGGCAAGTATAGCCCAAGCATAAGATATAATAAAAATAATAAAGCTATCAATTCTATTTTGTTTTTTTTAAGATAGAAATAATTTGTTAGCGTCGTATCGAAACGTGTTCTTAGAAATGGTTAAAACTAATTCTCCATTTTCACCGTCTCGTAATATCTGCGGTAAAGAAACATCTTAAGGGTAAAAAATTTGAATATGATGACGCAGTAGTCGCTGTGTTACATGATTTTTAAAGGGATCAGAAAGAAGATTTATTTTTTTAAAGGAATTCAAGAGAAGATATATACGAAGCGTATATAATGACTAATGATGACTACGTGTAAAATTAAAATAACATTCAATGTAAGATAATGCGGCATACTCGTTATAACTTTTTCTTGAACACTTTTCTTGAATACTTGGGGTATATGGGTACTAACGTACTTGTCTGAAGATAATATGAGCTACCCATAATTCAGATTGTTTTTATTTACTAATAAAGAAATCAAATATACGCCTCATTAGGGCCAATACGATTTATATTGTTATCATGTTCTCACTAATAAACGATGCCAATTACCGAAGATATCAGATTTCAATAAAAAATAAATTATGTTACAGGAGAATTCAGCCAATTTCTAATATCAAATTATAGTCACGTTCTTGTTTGTGACAATCATTTTGAACAATTCGTGACGTTCGATAAAATCGTTCTTTTGTAAAATCATAATCTACTTAGCGGGGTTAAAGGTGACTTATATAATTGAATGCTGTCCTGTAATCCCATAATACGTTTAATCAAACTTAACACCACTGGGTGCTACTAAAACGAGCGTAAATGAACTGTGTCTGCGTGTCTAATATCCAGTGATAATTCTGTATATTAGTATGACTTGAGTTGTGTTGGCCTAGTGGCTTCAGCGTGCGACTCTCATACCTGAGGTCGTAAGTTCAATCCCCGGCTGTGCACCAATGGACTTTCTTTCTATGTGCGCATGTAACATTTGCTCGAACGGTGAAGGAAAAAATCGTGAGGAAACCGACATGTCTTAGAAGTCGACGGCGTGTGTCAGGTACTGGAGGCTGATCACCTACTTGCTTGTTAGATTTTAAAAATGATCATGAAACAGATTCAGAAATCTGAGACCAAATCCTAAAAAGAGGTTTATTTACTGATTTATTTTACTTTTTTGAGTTACAAAAATTTGTAGTAAATTTCAATTAATCACGATATTCATAAAAATTAAACTGTGTAACTGCATTGTTAACTAAAGTACGCATTTGTCTCTTTTCATCACAACACAATTTTATAGATGGAGACGAAAGAGTAGTCTTTAGTTAAAAGAGTTAGACTTAGAATGGTTATAAATTTCTACAATCCATTACATCCACATTAACAGGTTTTATTACGTATATATGTTACAGAATTTTATTGATTCTAATTTATACTTCATACTGTATAATTACTAATTTTCCAAATCAAATTGTTATCTGAGTACTTGTTCTTTAAGGACCCCAGGTTGGGTAGACCTCGAACTAACGCAGTGCACATGAAGCTTTGCTGAAATTCGAGAAAATTGTGTTGTGTCTTATAATCTTTTTTTTTTATAGAAGAGGGGGCAAAGGTGGCTCATCTGATGTTAAGTGATACCGCTGTCGATATGTTAAGATGGATATAAAGTAGACTAAGCACTTTACGCAAATTTACTATGCGTTATTACAATGCTAATGCCGACTACTCCAAGCAAAAACATTTCCCTATTTATTTACTAAAAAAATATTGTATAGACACACAGTACAGAACACTGTACAAAATTCAAATACGACCGATAAAACAAAATTATCCTAAACGATACTCTCTATAAATGCATTAAAGAGGCATCTGTGATGATAAGAGAGGATAAACATATCGAGGAGATAAATTGATACTCAAGTTTTGACTAGACTAGTTTTCACAATGTGTCACTGGTTGTGAACACATATTTCAGATGGGAAAGCAAATGGTTGGATATGAGAGTGAAGAGAAAAGCATAATCTATTGTGACATTGAGAAATGTTTATGAACTTGTGGGACTTGCAATTCCATTTAAAAATAATAATAAAGTAAAGAAGGCATTGAAACTTTTAAGTAAGAAAACATTTACGTTTCAAATTTAAAGATCATGTATTTTTCGATTAAGTCTTTCTTCGGGTTCTAAAGTAGGAGTGTAAACATAAGACAAGGTAAGGAAGGAAATTAAAAAGTTTCTGGTTCAATGTTTATACTGAAATGAAATTGTGAATTCCTAAGTTTCCTTACAGAGTATAAATTCAGTCGACTACTTTGCAATGATATTTATAAAAATCCCATTCCTTCATTCATCGTTATCTTAACGTAAATACAAGCACTTAATATTTGTATTTTGTATCGCTTCTCTGTTTTGTTGATCAATCGTCATCATGAAACGAACTGAGGTCATCCGTTCATACAAGCGTATGCAATACAGTAATTGTAATGTAGGTGCAGTCTGGATGCTACGGTCAAAGTTGTTGTTGAGAGAAAACAGAATGTTCTCATGATACGTTTGGTATTTAGATTATTAATTTCCAGCCATAATTTGAATTCTAGGAAAGTTGTTAGCTTTCTTCTTTACATCTGCAAAAATGGAGCTTACGCTTAGACCATTAGTAAGCCACTCAAATCCAAGGGCAGAACGTGAACTATGGCCGAGGCTTGCATTAATGAAAAGGATTATATAAGCTCTTGCAATTTAATAAAATAATGGGTTTGTTGCTACAAACATTGTACCTCGCTTAAACTTACCCTCGCTAGATAACTTGATTAGTATAATTTGCAGTATGTAAAAAGTAAGTGTAATCATATATAGTCTGACCATATATTTTTTTATTTTAGTCATAGCGACATAAATCTTTAATTTTTTAATTAAATCTAAACTGTAGATAATCATCATTTTTATATGGAAGGAATAATCATGAAATGATACCACTTCATTTATATACAAATAGTATTCGAAGCTTCTCATATAACTTGTAAGATGTTTCGTTAAAATTTAAATAGCTATTTATGATATTTGATCTTTGTATATCTTTTAAAGATCGACATTTTAAACAACATTCAAACAGAAATATGTTTAAATACAACTTAATTAACACAATTTTTCGAATGATGATTGCCTAAACCTAAAGGTCATAGAATTATATTTATTATCTATTTATCATAGTAGTATTGTTCTAGTGGCTTCAGCGTCTCACTCTCATTACGTAGATCGTAGGTTCGACACCTGGCTGTACACTAATGGACTCCTGTCTATATTTGTGCATTTAACTCTCGCTCGTACAGATAAGGAACACATTGTGAGGAAATCGGCATGAATTAGATCCAAAAACCGATGACCGGTGTCCGGCACAGAAAGCTGATCTGTGCTTGCCTGCCACTTACACGTCTAATTAAACTTCTGATAAAACTATTAAACTTATACTCACTATAAAACCGGCCTTCCGGGGTAGTTTATTGTACATATGCGACACAATTTGGATGTTTGGTGTTGCACCATCAGCTGTTGCTACGACTGCAGGACCATTATATGGTCTCGGCTCCATTCGATTGCCCACAGTTCGTGATCTGAAGAGCAGCATGATTTACTTCCGCACCTGTCAAAATACACGCATAATGGTGACCTTACACAAGTATATATAGTTTAACGATTTGTTAGTTACAATGAAAATAGCTGAACCGAAAAAGGTGTTTGGTTATTGTAGCTCTTTCTTTTACGCATTTAGTAATAAATTACCAAGTAATACCAACCAACTCTTGGTTCATTGTACGAGCTTAGTCATCATGATTGACACACGAGATTTGGATCTATAACGAGTTGGTTTTCTCAATATTAATTATTATTGACGATGCGAGCGTACGTGCGCTTCTAGACTCCGAGTACTTAACTTTAGGTTCTTGGTAAAGCTCTATGAATATCAAATATAGGTTCTAGAAATACCTTTTTTTGCTTGTAGAATAGTAATTACCGATATATGACTATATTTTCGTATAGAATACTAATCTACGTGTTAGTTATTCAACTTGATATGAGAACATGCAGAATGTTTGTCTGTAAATATGAGGTTTAATTTATTCTTTAGTTTGCAGTGTTCTTCATATCAACAAGTATTTTAACTAATAAAATAAAACGATTTAGTTTTCCTTCAATCCTTCAATGTAATTATTTTAATCTATTAACGTCGGGTTTTTTTTTAATATAATCCTAGATATGGTCTTGATACATGACACTTGCGAGAAACACTTTTAAAAATTTCAAACGTCAGTTTTAACAAATGCAAGAAAATTGTCGTCGGGACGTTCGCCCAAATCTTTCCTTTTCCGTTAATTTGTCTGCTAACATGTTTATTGTTTAACATAAATTGGTTAATTACATAATTCTATGAATTGTATAAAATAAAATTAATTAATAAAACAAACATTTAATACGGCTTTATTTATCTGTTACATTTTACTGAATACTTTGAACTTAATACAATACGCGTATGCTTATTGTTTGTTGAACACCCACGGGAGCAAGTTCCGAGTAATTAATTTTAAGTATCGGTAACCAGTTTTTTTTAATAAAATCAAAAAATCGTGGAACTTCATGTTTACAGCTTTGAACCCAATATTATGCCATAATATTAATTTACAATAAGGATTTAATTATTGATAACGTTTAAAACTGTTTTAGCACTTTTTTTTACGTCGGAAAAATTAAAATTATGTAAAATAATTGTAAATTTATAATAATACATAACTTCAATCCGGTAAAAAAGTGCTTTCTTTAACTTTTTGTTTGTCATGCTTCTCTTATTATTATGCTATTTAATGAGTGATCTTTTTAAAAATTATATTCGGGAATATTCTCATGAAAAAGTAATCTTATTTCAAATTTAAGCACATATCTTTCCGAGTTTTACAAATGATTATTGAATATTTTATCTGGTCAGTTAAATGTACATTTTAAAAGCTATATTCAGATAAAAAATGGTAAGTTTGGTGTATGAAAAAAAAATGGACGCAATAAATATAAAATAAAAAAAGTATATGTAAAAACGATTTTAGACGGTTGGTAAAGAGAGTTGAATGAAAAATGAAAAATTTTGAGTAGAGATTGCGGAAAATATGTAACTTCTATCTTCCCCTCTTTATATTACTCTTAAATAAATAAAAATAAATTAATAAATCCTTTATTTGCAAAAAGTGGTACATTTAGATCGATTAATTATAAAAATCCGCACAATAACCATATTAAAATGGTAGGGGAGCCCAAGAGGGGATTTCGGGATTTACTAAAGCGCTGCAGATTAATATATAGGGGGATACCTTGTACCCGGTTAAGTACCTCCACAAAATATGAGGCCCATATATAAGGCCGCCCGTGAAGGAGACAGGATCAGATTAGTAAAAAAAAAATTGACCATCAGAAATTCCCGAGCGCGTCAGATTAAGGTAGGGTGAGTTAATTACATCCTAAAAAGTGTATATTCCACTAATCTGACAATTTGACAGTGACGTAAAAAAAGGGGAGGGCAACAAAGTTGTAAAAAAAAACGTCATCTCGACATTCTCGAGCGTAGCTAATTTTTTTTTTATTTTGAAGGAAATAATTCAAGAATAATGAAAAATATATAATCTGACGATTTCCGCAAGCCGAAATAACAAAAATTCGTCGATAAAGTTAAATGCGTGCAGCTGCGTGATGCCTACATTTCCTTAAACCGATCGGAATCTACTAAACGGCGTTCTAAATATTTCCCTCAAAATTTCATTTCCTGTGAATTTGAACCGATTCGGACCGATAGATTTTGAGAAATTTTGAAAAATCTTAAAAAAATAAGAAATATTTTTTTTTTAAAGTGGTTTCTTTATCGATCAACTTCAAAAACTAATCCGCCTTTGAGCTTGAAAAACCACGTCGATCGCCACCAAGCTGGTCAAAAGCGGTTGATTCGTTCGAGAGATATCGTGAACGAAAGAAACCCGAAAAAGTGTTTTTTCGGGATTACTCCGAAATTTGTGGTTCGATCAATTAAAATTACTTATGAGGATGATAAAACTGCGTCGAATGCCGCCAACCGCGTGAAAATTGCTTGATCCATTCAAAAGTTGCGGTTTGAAAATTCCAAAAATAGTGTTCTATGAAACTTCTATCAGACTTTCGAGCTGGGAGAGCTCAAATGCATAGAAATATTATTTCTTTGAACTCAGCGAGCTCAAAATATCAATTTTAAGCGCCCAGGAATGGAATTAGCGGGAAGTTGCAGGGATGGCCCTTTAGGTGAACCGTTTTTCTAAATTTTTTTTGTCAGATCAGGTGAATCCCTCTAGATAATCGTCAGATTATGAGACAGTACGTTTAGAACATAAAGATGAACCACATATATCTTAATCTGACGCGCTTGAGTATTTCAAAATTGTGATTTTTTTTTGCAAATTATGACAATGGCCGTGGGTTTGCGTCCCATCGAAATCGTCAGATTAGTTAATGAGAGCTTTTTTTTTTGGTGCACTTAACACTCCCTTAGAAAATCTGACGCGCTCGATAATTTTTATTTTTTTTTCATTTTCAACCCTTAAATACAACCACCCGCATCATGCAAACGATCAGATTAACATACGTACATTATTAAAAATACGTAGGGCATTGATGCTATCAATATCTGACGCGCTCGAGGATGTCCATGCAACAGTTTTTTTTTACATATTTAATAATCTATAGCCGCTTCCCCCACCGATGAAAAGGTATATATCATATAACATTTTTTTCTTCTTATTATCTAAGCTTTGCATCCCAATAGGTCTCTACGACGCTCGAGTAAATCCCCATTTAGCATCGTGGGCTCCCCTACCAAAATATATGCCATGCAAATGTCATATTAATTTTCATAATGTCACAATTACAATAGACAACGCCATTTGAATCTATGAGATATATTTTATATCCAAAATAAAAAAAACTACTCGTTATTAGTTAAGTTATTGAAACCAAGTAGCGCCCACGTTGCGCGTAGATTAACCGCCCAATAGCTAGGGGCGGCCCATTACCCGATGAGAGATCTTCATTCTGATATCGTGACAGCAAATTACATAAATTGATTAACACTGTATCAACTTTCGTTAGGAAAATATTGAGTTTATCAAATTAACTAGTTAGACTATCAACTTGCTTTATTGGAACATATATGATACATGCTTATAAAATGCCTAATTTATTTGTCTACACAACCTTGGAATTATTAAATTAATAGTAGTATTTTATAAGCAAAGCTCTCAAAAGTAATGGTACATAAACGTAGTATTTTTTGTAGAATCCTCGAAAATGCATTTCGTTTTAAAGCATAGACAATGTGTGGGTAATATGTGTTAAAAAGTAAACGATTACTGTTGACATAATCACCAAATAAGAAAATCAAAGACCCCCCTCCCCCTATAGTGCTTACGTTATACTTGAACGGCCCCCTATAGGCAAATGGCACAGACGGGACGGGCTTTGGTTTGGGTTGCCACTTGCTTAAATATAAGAGTCTTTCCTCCAACTTCGATTTTGTTCCCTATGGAGTAGACTCTTGGGCCGTGGGGTTCAAGTGCACAGGCGCTAATTAAAGATTTAAGTTGGCGTCTGGTAGATAGTCCCGTGAACCAGAGCTGGTGCTTTTATCGCTCCACGAATAAGTACCGCAATACTGAGAGGAAATGATGTCAGCGTTAATGCCAAACTTTTTTAAATTGTTTTAATTTTCTATTAATTATTTAAATATAAATTATTATATATTTTGGTTACCTTTTCAATTCAAACGACATATTTATTTTCTAAAAAAATTATAGCTCTTTGTAGTTAAAGCGACTTAACTGGGGGAGATGGATAGTGATAATATTCATAGTGATGTATTCACTTATACTATCAGACCTGAACAACTGGAATTATTAAATAAACCAGTAGTAGTTTTTATTATATTAAATAGAGGTTTTTACTTGACTACATTAAAACCTTGTTAGTTAAAGAGATATAAATTCGAATTATTTATAAATATTTAATAATGATATTGATATTATTAAAACGAATTAATGTAGGTACACAATATAACGTAGTAACATATTTGTGGGCGATTTAGCTACCCGACCCAGTAACAGGTGTCGGTAGAATTTCACTTATCCATTGCGTAGACGTGTATTTTAAAAATATTGACATTTTATGTTAAAAAAAATTAGATCATCTGGTGACTAAGAAATTATTGCAATTAAAGACTTCGGGTCTTTTAATATCACCATAGCTTAATAATATAGCTAGACTAGCTTCTGTTTATTGGAACCAGCTAAGTCTAAAACGTAATGCAATGTATAAGAACACAATGTTATAGTTACATTTAGTCAGTTTTCTTGAAAGCATTCGAAACTTGACCTGAGAATGAAAACAGATATCTCGTTAGAATTTTCTAAGATTCATATTTTAACGCTCTTTCAAATAAACTTCTTTATATTATATTTTAGATACGTATAAATATCGTTTGCTGTTATAATCGTAATTATATAGAAGCTTAATTTAAACTTACTGAGCGTCTCTCTCTTCAATACATCGTTTTACAAAGCTTTTAAGTAAAATTGTGAAATTTCACCATTAATTGATAAAAAGTTATATCTAGTAAAAAAAATTGTTCTACCGATCTGGGAAGAAACAAACTTTTCAAAGGTTTATTACGTATGAGTATATTAATATACATTAATCATTTAAGTATATTTAATATACATTTGTATGTATAAGCATGTTATGTATAAATTTTCCTGCAAACAGTACGTCACACTGGAAAACACCTGTATCGCGCTGAGAAATCGCAATGCAAATTGATAGCAAAGTTTACTCAAAGATACATCGTATAGAAAATAGGACAACAAACTAATGACAAATATGATAACACATTAAAAACACTCATTATTTCATGCAAATAATTGATGATTTTTACAATTATTTTTCTTATGATTAAATTTTACTATGTATAATAACTTTAACATAATCGGTCAAATAAACAACATAAAATATATATATTACATAATTTATCCTATAATTACAAATTTTATAAGTGAGACAAAATATTTTTTTTATTAATTGCAACAACCTCTTTAAAAATATACAAATTGAGAGAAATAAAACTATTTTATTGTTATGAAATAGAACTACTTCATATCAAATGACGGGTTTGTTTTACCTTCTTTTTCAACTTTTTCTTTACGTAGAAAGGGTATATCAAACAGAATTTGGTTATTTACAAGATCCTCAGCATCTTTAAGCGTATGTGGCATTTCTTTGTTAGCTGTCTCTGGCAACATAAAAGCACAAATTGCCCCCAATAACGCAATGCCCCCTATAATGATGTGAGGAAGCCATATAACGTAATTTTGTAGGTACACAATATAAGGAGATATAACGCTAGAAACATAGCTACAAATATGGACAATCGAACTACCCGACCCTCTAACAGGTGTCGGTAGAATTTCAGTTGTCCATTGCATACTCGCATTAATAGCAAAATTTACACAAAACCGAGCGAGCACAATGCACATTACAGGTGGTAAACCCTCGCCTACAAATGTAGACAAGACGCTTAATACACAAGTAAGAATCAGCGCAACAATTGTCAACCATTTTCTACCAGTTAAATCTAAAATAAAGGAAATTATAAGCAATGACGGAAATTCAGTGAATGACACAAATGTAAATGACAGGAAAAAGTCGTATTTTAATGCTCCGATAGTTCTAATCAAAGCATCAAATATTATCATGCACAACATAAACAAGCTGCACATACAAATGAAAGATTTTCTTAAAACTTTATGTTTAAGAATTATCATGCAACTGTATTTTTCTTGTATCTCTTTATTTTCATTTGTTTTAATAAAATTATCGATAATTTGTTGGGGAACTTCTTTTCCATTTACTTTACCGATATCTTTGATTTTATCTATAGTATCATTTACACGGCCCTTTGAAAGTAGCCACCTTGGACTCTCAGGTAATACAAATGGAGCTAATATAACTAATAACATAGGAACACTTGTAGTTATACTTATCGTCTTCCAGTGACCACACGCTAAGCAGATCCAGGGCAATGCAGTTACACCTATGGTGTAAAATATAGCACCTGGTAAATTCGCTACAATAGTTCTATATTTAGGTGCTACATATTCTACCAAAAGGAGATACATCATCATAACACAGTTATCATATCCCATTCCAACTAAAAACCGACAGGCAGAAAATTGCAATAAATCGGTAGCAAATACGCTTAGGATACCACCAATAAAAATTATTAAGTTACTCGTTACCAATGCTGGGATCCTACCATATTTGTCAGATATCCAGCCAATCAAAAATCCACCTACGGTCGATCCAACAAAAAATACTGCTTGAGCTGTCGCCTGATAACTATCTTTTTCACATACCCATCCAAGCTCACTTGATATAGTTGGATATGGAATTTCCGTTTTGTCGAACTCCCAACCATGTTGGCAAGATTGAATTTGCCAAGTTGTGTTTGGCTTCAGTCCTGAACTTAGAACCTCACTCCAATTCGCGATGTACGATTGACACCTCGAATATCCATATTGTGAATTAGCATCCACGGGTATAGCCAAATTTCTTCGTTCAATTACAGTCAAATTTTCAAGTTCTGGTATCCAGCACCAGTGGCTTGGAGAAACCTCAGTCATGAAAAGTTGTGAGAAGTAAGAAAATGATGAATATATGTGGGCTGGGAACATTGCAAGAAATAATAAAATCTGGAATCGTCCGAACTGCCCAGCACTTGATAATAATTCATCATAATCGACTTTTTTTAACTCCGCTTCGTAATTAACACTGTCTTTATTATGAAGACTGATTTCTTTATTTGACATTTTCTTACTATAATTTCCAATAGTTCACGAAATTTGAGATACTAATCTTAATAAAGTTGTATCTTTTACTTATATTTGTTTGATAAAATAGACAGAAATTGGCTACAATATTCTTCGACGGCTACATGATCACTAATCTTGAAGGTGCTTCAGAACATTAAACAAGAAACGTGCGATAGATAAGAATCTAAATTAAATACTAATTAAGTAAATCCCAAATAACATATGAACAATTGAGTATGCGTAAACAAAATATAGAACTTGATAAAGTCGGAAATTCAATTTGAAAATACTAAAGTTATAAGGCAACCTTAAAAATTTAATATTAAGGCTGCATAAATTTAACTTTTTCCTTATTTTTACAAATTCTACTAACATAGATCTTAAGAAACTATTGTTACTAACTCACTAATCAATCAATGGACTGTATTTGTCTGATTAATAAAAATTATTATTATTATTATAAAACAAAGTTGTCAGATAAATTTTGATAACCCTTAGCTGGGATGTAATATAATAATTATAATTTCAAATAAGAATCTACACCACACGTAAATAATAATTATTAACAAAGTCAATTATCTTGTTTTGGGTTTCAAACTCACTCTAATAAATGCACTAAATACACTAACTACTTCAGTTACTAAAATCAAATTTCAGCCAGCTGAAATCGTCTCTGACTTGTTGAAAAATGGACAAACATTTCAACCCGTCTTCGTAACAGTATGTTATTTTTATTTATTATAATTAAAAGGACTTAAAATTAGTTGTGCTTCGCACTTTGCACATGAAAACCATTTCAGTAATGTTACGTATGCTCTATATAATTCTTGTTGCCTCGAGTGAAGAGGGATCGTTTTAAAGTAGATTGCTAAAAGCAACAAACTGTTCATGAGCATCCGATAACTTATAAGTTAAAATCTTATAAGATTTTGTTTCAAACTTAAACTTATTATTTTATTTAATGTTTAATTATTTAATCAGTATTTTTAATAAGAACACAAAGATTTCCAATAGTTTAAGTTACTCAGAGTTGAGGCTTTGCGCTAAGTAATTCCGTATATCAAGTCTAATGTGTTTATACATACGGGAATCACAAGTACCATATAGTAAGCACACATTTGTCTTTTGTTTCTAGAAAAAAATTAAATATATATGAGAATCTCAAAACATCTCCAATCAACTCGATACGGACAAGGAAGAGTTTATTTCTGGCCCTAGCTTTAAGAAACGAGGTAATTATCTATGCGAGTCAAAAGCTTAATCATATTGAAATATCATTTTATTCTATCAGAAATATATGGCAGGACAACACCATGTGAAGGCTTCATTGATATAGAAATATGGGTCAACTCCAGTGTCGTAAATTGTGATTAACAGAACTGACAATTCTGCGTCATAATTTAACTTTTCAAGGCAAGCACGTGGGCAGACTTCAGTGCATACACGATGAAAATCGATCCAACGACATCCTGTGCGCTTACCATTAAGCTTATTACCTCAGTGTTATATGGTGATGAAATAAGCTAAAAATATTTGCCATTCACGTAAATAATAACAAAATTCCTACAACGTATAGGAGACAACGATACCTTAATTAATAGATTGTGGTTCAAATTTGCAAATTAACTGACCGCGCCCATTCGCTTAGTTTATAGCTAGGTAACTATGAACCATATACGTATATGCATGTTTACTACACCTTGACGCCTTGATTGCTTGGGGAATGATCAATCCAGGACATTTAAATGCGGATTATTAATACCTTGATAATTATTAATTTCATTGTGGATATATATTAAATTAAGCTATTTTAAAGTCGCAGAAACGTCTTTAATCTGAGTCAATTTAGAGCGAGTGTGTCGTCACTATTATCATTATTATAATATATAATTTATTTATTTTAAACAATCTAGCGAAAAAAGATTTATGAATCGTTTATGGCTATGTTAAAATCAATAAAAAACACAACTATATTATTAACAATGTATAAAGAACGTCATTCCAAATAAATTACTAAATATAATGATTCAATTTACAAAGTAAACAACACGACATTATTAATTGCTGTTCCCAAGAATCCATACAAGAAGATATTATTGCAGCTATTTTTCCAGTGAGCAGTGGCTTATTTTGTATTCCATGTATGAGTTACATCATTAGTTCCTCCCTCATACGATCGAAAAGCCGCTAAATTGAGAGTCATGAAAAATGTGTTATGAATTTTAAAGCACTTCTTTAGCTTTAATAACACTGTTTTTATTACTATGACTGTACTCTTTTGGTAAATACATAGGAACTCGTTTGTTTTAGGTATTAGGACCCTATTTAAAATTACGCAATGATAAAATGACAGTCAATGAGACGAAAAAACAAATGAATTTCAGATTGATATCATGTATCCTATGTACATATGTGTAGGTTTATGGTCATCACAATTGTGAAATAATTACTGATGTTTTTTAGGGCGCAGCGTGATTAATTACGTAAGTAATCGGTTTTGTACGGAAAGTGTAGTACAAATGCAGAATTTGTATGTATTATTATACAAGTGTATTAAAATAAAGAACACTTTTTGGTTTCTGGCAATTTTTTAGTAACGTGTATGAACACCTTCAGCTTATGTATTTTTTTACGCTGTTATACACTTTTCCAACAGTCAAGATCAATCTATTCAAGCATCTCACTTCCTTTATACATAACTTACATCGTCGGGTGACACATAAAACATATAAATCAATTTAATTTAGATGAACTTTATATCAGTAATTTCAAAAATAACAAAAACATTTATTGTTCTACATACAATTCAGCAGTGATACACAGTTACTTAGAACATTTTGGAAACAACATTTGAAGACCACAAAAGCAATGGGACATAAAAGCCAATCGGTTCTTTAATAAATTGGTTTGTATTGAACTGTAGGTTTGTTTATTGGCAAACGAATGTTTCAAATCATCATGACTAATAAATATTATGGTCCGACCTTTTAGTGCAGCGATTAAAGTTAGTGTGTACTTATCGCCTGTTTGATCCACATTAAATTAGATAAGAAAGTAAATGGGAAGATTACTATGAATATTGACATAAAACAAATTAAGTACACATTTAAATGAAATTAGTATTTCTGCACATGATAGAGATGATTTTTTATAGAACTGCTGAAGTAACGGTTAAATAAAATTCAGTTAAATTTAATTATTCAGTTATATTAAGACCGAAACAAATAAAAAATAAAAATAAAATAAATTACTGAGATTTTGAAATCGTAAAGTATATAAACATAGATATATTTCGTGATTAATTTTTTTATATATAAAATATATAAAAAAAATAATCACGAAAGCACTTTGAATGCCTTTATTCAACTTATACTAAATAACTAGTGGATTTTACAAGTATTAACAAAACATTTATTAAAAACATAGATCGAAATCCTCGTTACTAAACAAAAAAAAAACAGGGATATATAATATATAATTTAAGTAAATAAATAGGATAAAACTCGGATGTAAGGAAAAACTGTGAATCTCCATTTAACCATCGATTTTTTCAACTCAAGAATATTACGAACTACTACTAAAAATAATATATAATTAAAAACACTTACCTCGCGGCCACATATATTTTTTCGATGCATGAAACTTATTTAAGCTGGAGCTAGACTTAACGCCGTAACGAGCGTTAACTTTTGTAGACGATTCGCGACCGATGACAAGCCAAAGCGACATGCGTGGTGAGTTAGATGACCGATGAGCAGTTTCAATGGTTTCTAACATATTATTATTTTATTACAGCGCATACGTTAATTACATTCTATTTCAGTGGAACTTTGTATGTTTGTTGAGTATGTTATGTATGTAATTACTTGTATATGATTGAAGTTGAAAGAATATACTAAAATGGAACTGACGTCGCTGGAAACAATCAGACCGAAAGCAAATATGACAGTCCAGTCCATATGACATCGCGAATGCCCATGGGCATATAGGTTAGCGTCTTGCAGGCCTGTTCCTTGTTCTAAAAAATCCCCTAGGATTTATCTAGGAAACCCTTTAATCCAAAATATGCGTCGTAATTTGTACGAAATGTTTTCTATAAAAAAATATAACTGAAACGTATACTTTTCGAGGGCATCTTACATCGGCGTCTCGTGAAAATGTTCAAAATGAAACAAATGGCTTCTTGGTCACGTGTTTCATTTGTGCCTAAGAAGTCTTGTGTTTCATTGAAACTTTTAAATGAATTTAATAAAGTATACATAAAGTATGAATTTTGTTTCTATTGATGTATTATATTTCCGTAAAAATATTCCCACTCACATTTTGAGTTATAACAAATTTAATTGTTGTTTATTACTTTTCCATGTTTTTTTGTTTGGATTGTTCGGGTCAGCAGACTGCTATTTTTTTTATTCAGGTAGTTCTTAATCGAATAGAAATTACAGCTACAAGATAGAGTAGTGCTTTATTTTACATTTTTACTTCTACCTCCTGTAATAATGCAGAGACCTGGATCTGGAGTCTGCCTTATAGATTTTCTTTGTTATCTAAATGGTTTTAACCATTAACCCCACAGGCAGACGCGAGCAAATGATATAGTATCGTTTTTTTACACATTTAAACCCCCGTAACTTAAAAACGCAGCAACGTACGATCTTAAATCATTATGAAAATTTTGTCGTATTGATCAAAACTTTAATTCCTATAAATTCGAAATACGAGCAAATCATGTACTTAAATGCTTGCCACCTCTCTGGCTACATATTTATAACAGTTAAATATAAAAATTAAAGATGGCTCTTTAATTTTTTTAGCTTTCCAGTAGGTACTTAAAAGCATCGAACGAGGAAAGAAAATATTTTTTTAAAATATATTTATTGATATGGTAGTACATTAGTTTGTATATAACAATCATAATTAGTCAGTGATTATATAATAAATATTAATACTTTAATTACGCTCCTAAAAGATTAAATTAAAAAAAATTTAAACTAATT